CAACAAACTCTTTAATTTTATAAGATTTAATGATAATAAAATTAAATGTATCGAAAGGTATATGTGTGCAACAGAAATTGAAAATTGTTTTTGTTTTTATTTAACTATTTTTATTACATATCGTTTATTTTATCACATAAGAAATATGTTGGGTTCATCAAAAATTTTTTAGATTTTATTGCAACATATGATATCATTAAAAAAATGCACTATATACATTATCTAATGGAATAATACACTATATCATTTTTTAACTGCCAAATTTCTGCGCATTTGAAAAAAATTCGTAGAAATTAATTAAGAATTGTAAATTAGATGTTGTTTTAAATGTGGAACCGAATAAAGTGCATTTCCGTTACTTGATGCTTTTTATCGATAAGACAAAAATGCAATGTAAACTTTAAAAAAGATTTGCGCCATTAAAAAAAGTATGCTGTAACAGAAAGCACATGGTTTACGTCAGATGTGATTTATTCTACTGTATATTTAAAACAACGCAAATTTTACACATCTTAATAAATTTTAATAAAATGTTTTTAAATACGTAGAAAGTTATCAGTTATAAAATAATATAGCATATTAATTTATAATGTGTACATAGTGCAATGTAGTAACGCACCATCATCTGTTGCAAAAATGCGAACCAACTTTATCATCAACCCAATATAATACTATGTACAATAATTGAATAACGTCAAAACATGGAAGTTTAATTAAGAATAATCAATGTTTCTTGGGATACCTTTATAATTTTAAAATATTATATATTTTCTATTCATTTTCTACATATATTGAATACAGTTAGCGTCCCATAATTTATAGACGAAATTACATGCAAAAGCTCTGCGACTTTTAGTTTTAATGTGTCGGAAACAAACTATATGTTTCCCACACATACTACAAAGATGGTACTCGCAATTTATCATTTACGTATTTAGTAAATAATGCGCAGGCTCTGTGTACAGGAAGGGGATTTCGAAATCAACGAAGAATCGATCGCGATCCTCGATGCTATTTTCCTTTGGTCGACCACAGTAACAGACATTTTCTTCAACTCGTGATTTACTTGGACAAGTACGACTAGACGAGAAATTTAGCAATATCAAACTCGATTTCTTCTTTGAAAAAGGAATCCATCGAAATTTGGTAAGTGATCTTTAATCAATTTTATTATAACATTGAATTTACTTTTACTATTTAATTAGAGTTGAAATTATTTCAACAATTTTTGTTTTGCTAGTTTTTCTATAACTTTCTTTGTTATATGCATTTTTGTGAAAAGTAAAACAAATGATATATCGAGAGAATTTATTTTAAAAGAATAAATGAGAAGCTAAACAGCCGTAGCTAGATCGTCGTGCTAGTGTATTCGAAGGCAAATTATAAAAACAACGTTTCGACATGTTATCAGGTCTTCTTCAAGTTCACAATAAATAAGAAATTACATTACAAATTACAACGCTTTTTCGGACCAATTAAACAATTATTACAAAACATCGTTGATTTGTGTTGGTGTCAGTACGCAGTTATGTAATAAAATGGATGCAATGCTGAAGTCAATAACAAATATCAATGAATTACTATTGTTAGTCATTATTTTTATTGACACTAAAACGCAAATAAGTTTGAAAATTAAAAATTGAAATTATAATAAGAATAAACGCAACAAAATTGAAAATATACATACATTATTCTACAATTACATACATCATATTATAATAATTGTTTAATAGGTTCAAAAAAGAGTTATAATTTGTAATGTAATTTCTTATTTATTGTAAACTTGAAGGAAACCTGATAACAAGTCGAAACGTTGTTTTTATAATTTGTCTTCGAATACACAAGCACGACCATCTAGCAACGGCTGTTTAGCTTCTTATTTATTCTTTTAAATTTTACATAATTATTTCGGCCTTATTATATTTAAATTTGAATTTATTATAACATATATTACATCCAGCACGATTGGATTTAATATTGGTAAGTAATAACTTTCATTCTTATATAAAGCAAATCTTATGCATCAACGATTTCTTTCGTTAAAGTGCTATGTTTAATACTCATACAGTTTATGTTTTAATCGTAACGAGACCAAATAATGCGAAACGTGCAACTTCTATTCGATCGAATAAGACTAATAGACACAATAAATTTTGCGGCATCATTTTGCATAGAAAACTTATCGAAAGAATAATCGTTAATATTTTACAATGTTAGCCACATTTTCTCTACAGAGCCATATTCCTTGTTTTTGCTATATGCATGCATATAATGAATAATAAAAAATGCTAATTTGACAATTTGAATATATTGTAAAAAATAGACAAATTACGCGATTCATTCAAATAAATAATATATAAATTCGTGTACGTAAATCAGATTAGATTTTATGATTTATTTGTTTGAAGATTCATCTTTTTTTATATTCAATGTTATCAAAATTAAATTTATATAATTTCAGATCAGTACGTATAATAATTATTGATAATAAAATTTTTAGAGAAGGAGACATTATATTGATCATAACTGCTAGAAATTCGATCAAAATAACACACGAGAAGATGGGTTTCAAAATAAACTTGTTATTCATACTTGTTGTCCTTAGCTTGTTTAGCATGGGATATACTATAAGACACTTGCATTACTATGAAAGAAGTAAGTGTTTTATTTCTTTCACATTGAACACGCACAGTAATATATTATTATATTTGCTATTGTAATATTTTTCATATAATTTAAAAAACTCAAATTGTTAATAATTACTTAATGCATATGTTTTGTTATCTTAAGTTGCCATATGTTGCAAAAATTTGAAGTTGACAGTTTAATTTTATGACAGATTGATAAACTGAAATTTTATTGTGTATAAATTAATATGTATCCTTTTATAAGTTACTGCATGTGTTATGATTTAACTTTTTGCACAATGTATGTCTCTTTTATAGACAATATTACCCGTGGACATGGCCGTTATTTTTAATTTCCAGGCCAGAATAATTACAGGCCAGAGATGAAGAATATTTTAAATTCATTCGAGAATATAAAATTCTTGAAAAGAAAATTTTTTAGAATTTTCTACATGTTTATATAAATTTATAATAATTTAATATTGAGTTTAAATTGAAATACTAAATGAAAAACTGTGTGTGAAGTCTTTATAAAATACTTGCAAAAGTGTTTTATTTTTACGATAAATGACTGTAATAAAATGAAGTATACGGATATGTATATGAAATATGTAGAAATATATATGTAAATAAAGAAAAGTACTCTTTAATTTATTATTATTATTATTTTTATATTGGGCATTTTTCCATATTGGGCATTTAATGCTACATTCAATAATTTAATAACATTAAGACATATAATAATTTGAGTAAAACATAATCAGTGTTTAATGAAATACTTTTCTGGTTAAAAAAATGTAATCTTACATGGAATTATCGTAATTGTACTAAATTTTTTTCAAAATAAGTGCACATACGCAACAGTGCTCTGCTCCTTTTTTATATATGCAGGCGTTTAATAAATTGTATAAAGTTTGATGTGCTTTTTAAATATGTAAAGCAATTAGGAAAGAATTTCAAGTAAAAAGAATTAAAATTTTAGAAATTTCTAACTTTATTTATTGTATATGAGTAGATAAACATATAATAAATATTATAATAACTTAAATAAATTACATTTTTATGATGTCAAATATTCAGTCCAATGTTTGATACATCGATTAAATGTATTCTGGTCAATCGTACATCAGTAATAAGTTGGCGTTGTGGGGAAAAAAGTAATTATATTGTAACATACACCAAAAAATTGCTATTTAATTGTTCCTTTGATATCCGTAACTGCTCACACTTATTTTAAAGCGAAATATTGCTACGGCAAAGTGAAAAATGCATGTAGAACGTTGTGTGGGAGATTGTAATGGGAATGCTAACGAATTCAATAACGCTTATACCGAAAAGTTTGCCTTTTGCCAAAAAATACAATTCACGTGGTTTTTAAATGGAAATGTAAGACTGTATGAAATTCTGATCAATTATTCATACAAATTTTTTATTTTTATAAGAATTAATGATAATAAAATTAAATCTGTCGAAATGTATGTGCAACTGAAATTGAAAATTGTTTTCATTTTTATTTAACTTTTTTTATTACATATCGTTTATTTTATCACATAAGAAATATATTGGATCCATCAAAAAGTTTGTAGATTTTATTGCAACGATATCGTTAAAAAAATGCACTATATACATTATCTAATACACTATATCATTTTTTAACTGACAACTTTCTGCTCATTTAAAAAAAAGTTGTAGAAATTGATTAAGAATTGTAAATTAGGCGTTCTTTTAAATGTGGAGTTGAATAAAGTGCATTTCCGTTACTTGATGCTTTTTATCGGTAAGACAAAAAAAAATGTAGTTTAAAAAAGATTTGCGCCATTTATAAAAAGTATGCTGTAACAGAAAACACATGGTTTATTTCAGATGTGATTTATTCTACTTTATGTTTAAAACAACGCAAATTTTACGCATCTTAATGAATTTTAATAAAATGTTTTTAAATGCGTAGAAAATTTTGAGTAATAAAATAACATGGTATATTAATTTATAATGTGTATATAGTGCAATGTAGTAACGCACCATCATCTGTTGCAAAAATGCGAACCAACTTTATCATCAACCCAATATAATACTATGTACAATAATTGAATAACGTCAAAACATGGAAGTTTAATTAAGAATAATCAATGTTTCTTGGGATACCTTTATAATTTAAAAATATTATATACTTTCTATTCATTTTCTACATATATTGAATACAGTTAGCGTCCCATAATTTATAGACGAAATTACATGCAAAAGCTCTGCGACTTTTAGTTTTAATGTGTCGGAAACAAACTATATGTTTCCCACACATACTACAAAGATGGTACTCGCAATTTATCATTTACGTATTTAGTAAACAATGCGCAGGCTCTGTGTACAGGAAGGGGATTTCGGAATCAACGAAGGATCGATTGCGATCTTCATGCTGTAATCTTTTGGCCAACTACAGTAAGAGACGTCTCTCGAACTCGCGATTCATACTTAGGCATGTACGATTAGGCGAGGAATTTAGCTATATCAAACTCGATTTCTTCTTTTTCGAAAAAGAAATCTATCGAAACCTGGTAAGTGACCTTCAATCAATTTTATTATAACATTGAATTTATTTTTACTATTTAATTAGAGTTGAAATTATTTAAATGCTTTTTGTTTTGCTATTTTTCCTATAAGTTTTTTTGTCATATGCATATTTGTTAAAAGTACAACAGATGATATCAAGAGAATTTATTTTAATATTAACATATATTTCATCCAGCAAGGTAGAATTTGTTGTAGGTAATAATTTTTGTTCTTATGTAAAGCAAATCTTATGCATTAACGATTTCTTTCGACAGAGTGCTAGGTTTAACACTCATACACGCATTGTGACTATTGTTCACACTATGAATAGTTTATGTATTAAAAGTAACGAGACCAAATAAAACGCGAAACGTGCGAATTTGATTCGAGCGAATAATAGACCCAATCAATTTTGGAGCATCTTTTTGCATAGTAAATGTATCAAAAGAATAATTGTTAATATTTTACAATGTTAGTCACTTTTCCTCTACAGAACTGTATTCCTTTTTTTACTATATGCATGCATGTGATAAATAATAAAAAATGTTGATTTTACAATTTATTCTTATTGCAAATAACTGATAAATTATGTCATCTATTAAAACAAATAATAAAAATTCTTGTATATAAATTAGATAAGATTTGATAATTTACTTGTTCAAACATTAATCGTTTTTTTTTATATTTGATGTTATCAAAATTAAATTATGTAATTTCAAATCAGTGCTCATAGTAATTATTGATAATAAAATTTTCAGAAAAGGAGATTTTATATTGATTGTAATTGCTAGAAATTCAATCAGAAGAACAGACGAGACGATGGATTGCAAAATAAACTTGTTATTCATACTTGTTGTCTTTAACACGTTTAGCATGGGATACCTATGTTCTTCAAGATATGTGCCACCTCGTTGTAAGTGTACTATTTCTCTCACATTGAACACGCACATATCTTTCAGTATATTTGCTATTATAATACTTTTCATATTAATTAGAAAACTCAAATTGTTAATAATTATTTAATGCATGTAATTACATATGGTAGTTATCATAAATTGTTATATATTGCAAAAATTTGAAGTTGTTAGTTTATTTTTACTGCAATAATAGATTGATGGAATAGATATTTTATTGTACATAAATTGATATGTATTTTTTATAATTTACTGCATGCGTTATGATTTAACTTCTTGCACAATGTATATCTTTTTACAGATTGTAGCTTTCCATATGATATGGGTCCTTGTTTCACGGTCAACATGCCGGTCAATAAAACTTATAAATTAAGATTTTTTTTTGATTCTAAAAAAATGGTATGTGTTCCTTTCATGTACGGGGGCTGCGAAGGAAATGATAATAACTTTATAACTGAAGAAGTCTGCATGATTACATGCCATGAGGATTATTACTATCAGTTCCATCACAGAGATGCACCAAAGGATGAACCTTTAGATCCGTTGAATGTGCTTTGAGAATATAAAAGTGTTTAGATTATAAAATTTTTGACGATGTTCCATATATTGATATACTTTTGTAATAGTTTGATATTGACTTTAAATAGAAGTACTATTAATAAAAGACTCTGTAAAGTCTTTATGAAATACTTGTAAAAGTGTCTTATTTTTACAATAAATGATATAAAATATATAGGAATATATATGTAAATAAAAGAAAGCACTACTTAATTTATTATTTCTTTTATTTTTTTATTATATTGGGCCTCTAATACTATATATAATTATTTAATAACATTAAGGCGTATAATAATTTGATTAAAACATAATCAATGTTTAATAAAATAATTTTAGTTTAAAAAATATTATCTTATGTGGAATTATCGTAATTGTACTAAATTATTATCACAATTATTACACACACGTAACGGAAGTGTTGTGTTCTTTTTTTATATTTAGATAATTAACAAATATAAAGTTTGATGTGCTTTTTAAACACGTAACGCAATTAGAAAACAATTTCAAGTAAAAAAACTTAAAATTATAGAATTTCCTAATGTTATTTATTATTTATGAGTAGATGAATATTATAATAACTTTATGTTAAATAAATTACATTTTTATGATGTCATATGTTTAGTCAAATGTTTATATATCGATCAAATGTACTCTGGTCAATCGTACTTCATTAATAAGTTGGTGTTGTGGGGATAAAAGTAATTGTATTGAAACATACGCCAAAAAATCGCTCTTTGATTGCTCCTTTGATATTCGTAATTGCTCACACTTATTTTAAAGCAAAATATTACGACAAAGTAAAAAATGAATGTAAAATGTTGTGTAAGAGATTGTGATGGAAATGCTAACGAATTCAATAATTCTTATACCGGAAAGTTTGCCTTCTGCCGACAAATTTACCTTCACGCAATTTTTAAATAAGAATGTAAGACTATATGAAATTCTGATCAGATATATATACAAATTCTTTAATTTTATAAGAATTAACGGTAACAAAATTAAATCCGTTGAAATATATAAGTAGCAAAAACTGAAAATTGTTTTCGTTTTTATTTAACTTTTTTCATTACATATCGTTTATTTTAAGATAAAGAATATATTGAGTTAATCAAAAAGTTTTTGTTTGCAATTTTGCAACAGATGATGTCATTAATATATTGCATTATGTACACATTATCTAATGAGATAATATGCTATATCATTTTATAACTAACAACTTTCTGCGCATTTAAAAAGAAATTATTGTAAATATATCTAATTATTATTAATTAGAAAAGAAATTTATTGAAATCGATTGCAATTTGTAAATTTGGCGTTGTTTTAAAAATGGAGCAGATTAAAGTGCATTTGCATTACTTTGTGCTTTTTTAAGACTAGCATGCAACGTAGACTTTAAAAAAATTTTTCTATGATTATAAAGAGTATGCCGTAACAGTAAGAGTATGGTCATCATCAGGTCATCAGATGTGATTTATTCTACTTCATATTTAAAATGACGTCAATTTTATGAATCTTTATTGATTAAAATAAATTTTTTTTAAATGTGCAGAAAGTTGTCAGTTATAAAATAATATGGCATATTATCTTATTGGATAATGTACATAGTGCAATTTATTAATGCAACATCATCTGCTGCAAACATGCGAACGAACTTTTTGATCACCCCAATATAATACTATGTACAATAATTAAATAACATCAAAACATGGAAATTTAATTAAGAGTTAACAATGTTTCTTGAGATACCTATCTAATTATAAAATATTATATACTTTCAATCTATTTGCTACATAAATTGATAGATTGCATATCATAATTTATAGACAAAATTAGATGTAAAAGCTCTGCGAAATTTGGTTTCTATTGGTTGGAAATGAACTATAAAAATTCAATCTTAAAGTTAAAACAACGCAAGTAAAATAAATCATATTTGTTTCGGGATTTGCAAAACATTTTATTCAAGAATAAAGTAATACGAAATATATATAATAATAATGCTGCGATAATATTGAAATATTAAATAATATACACGCATTTTACGATAAATGTTTGGTGCAGATTATTATAATAACAAATATTTATTGCTAGCGTCGTGAGATTTTCAATAGGCGTCTTTTCGAAACCTTATCGCATGATATACCACAACGACGATATTCGCATTTTATCAGTCACGTTATGAGTAGACAACGCGCAGGCTCTGTGTACAAGAAGGGGATTTCGGAATCAACGAAGAATCGATCGCGATCTTCGATGCTGTTGTCTTTTGGTCGACTACAGTAACAGACGTCTCTTGAACTTTAACTGATTTACTTAGGCATGTACGATTAGATATTTAGCTGTATCAAACTCGACTTCTTCTTAAGAAAAGGAATTTATCAGAACTTGGTACGTGACCTTTAATCAATTTTATTACAACATTAAATTTATTTTTACTGTTTAATTAGAGTTGAAATTATTTAAACAATTTTCATTTTGCCATTTTTCTTATAACTTTCTTTGTTGTATGTATTTTTGTGAAAAATGAAAACAGATGATATCGAGAGGGTTTATGACAATATGTAATACACATCCAGCAAGGCTGGATTTAATACAGGTTATAAATTTTGCTCTTTCATAAGCAAATCTTGTGTATTAACGATTTTTTTTCTCAAAGTGTTTTGTTTAATGCTGATACACGCATTGTAATTATAACGCAAAAATTGTTTACTTTATGATTAGCTTATAATAATATTTTGATCGTGACGGAACCAAATAATATGCAAAACGTGCAAAATTTATTCGAGCGAATAAAACTATTAGACACAACCAATTCTGCGGCATCTATTTGCATAGCAAACGTATCGAAGGAATAATTGTTAATATTTTATAATGTTAGCCACATTTTCTCCACAAAACTATATTCCTTGTTTTTGCTATATGCATGCATGTGATAAATAATAACAAATGCTGATTTTACAATTTAAATTTATTGCAAATAACTGATAAATTATGTTATACATATAATATAAATTTATGTACATAAATTAGATTAGATTTTATAATTTATTTGTTTGAACATTAATCTCTTTTTATATACGATGTTATGAAATTAAATTTATTCAATTTCAGATCAGTACGTATAGTAATTATTGGTAATAAAATTTTCAGAGAAGGAGATATTATATTGATAATGATTGTTAGAAATTCAATCAGAAGAACACACGAGACGATGGGTTTCAAAATAAACTTGTTATTCATACTTGTTGTCTCTAACATGTTTAGCATGGGATACCTATGTAATTCAAATTCATATGAGCCACCTAAATGTAAGTGTACTATTTCTGTCATATTGAACAGTATTCTTTCATTATATTTGCTATTATACTACTTTTCATATTATTTAAAAAACTCAAATTGTTAATAATTATTTAATGCATGTATTTACATAGTTATCATAAATTGTTATATATTGCAAAAATTTGAAGTTGTTAGTTTATTTTTACTGCAATAATAGATTGATGGAATAGATATTTTATTGTACATAAATTAATATGTGTCTTTCTATAGTTTACTGCATGCGTCATGATTTAAGATCTTGCACATTGTATATTGTTTGTACAGATTGTTTCATTACTTATGACTCTGGTCCTTGCCTCACGACCGAGATGATAACGAATGGAACTTTCCTATGGAGATATTACTATTCGAAATTATTGGAAACGTGTTTTCCTTTCAAGTACGGAGGCTGCGGAGGAAATGGTAATCGTTTTTCAACTTATGAAGTTTGCATGAATATATGTCACATATAATACTCTATATACCTAAACAATGAAGAATATTTTAAATCCATTTAAGAATATAAAATTCTTTAAAACAAATTTTTGAGGGTTTTATATATTGATATGTATTTGTAATAGTTTTATATTGAGTTTAAATAGAAGCACTAAATGAAAGACTCTGTAAAGCCTTTAGAAAATACTTCTAAAAGTGTTTTATTTTTACAATAAATGACTGTAACAAAATGAAATGTACGGATATGTATATGAAATATGTAGGAATATATGTGTAAATACAGAAAAGTACGTTTTAATTTATTATTACTTATCTTTTTTACTATATTAGACATTTAATATTCTGTATAATAATTTAATAACATTAAAGCGTATAATAATTTGAATAAAACAAAATAAGTGTTTAATGAAATATTTTTTTTATTGAAAAAGTATTATCTTATGTGGAATATTGTACTAAATTATTATGAAAGTTTTTACGCAAATCCAACACAGTGTCGTGTACTTTTTTTTAATATTTAAATATTTAACAAATTGTATAAAGTTTGATGTGGTTTTTAAAAATGTATGGTAATTAGAGACAGTATTTTTTTAAAGTAAGAGGAATTAAAATTTTAGGTCTTCCTAACTTTATTTATTGTTTATGAGTAAATAAATATTATAATAACTTGATGTTAAATAAATTACATTTTTATTATATCAAATGTTCAATGTCAGTGTATCAATCAAATACATGTGATCAGTTGTGCGTCAGTAATAAGTTGATGTTGTGGATAAAAGTAATTATATTGAAACATAAACCAAAAATTGTTTTTTAATTGCTCCTTCAATATCCATAATTGCTCCACTTAATTAATTAATATTAATAACGCTATTACACGAAAACAGTCACCACTATTTATTTAGCAAATAACCCTGTTCAGACTTATTTCCTTTAAAATTTATTCTTCTAAAAAAATAATAAATGTTGATTATTTGATGCAATTTTATTATACTTTATTTGACGTGTATTGTATCGTTTTTACAGTTTGTGGTGCAATTAAGATTATGACATAGATCCTTGCATTTATTTTCAAGTGAAGTATTGTTACGACAAAGTAATAAATGAATGTAGAATTTTTGTGTGGTTGGTTGTGATGGGAATGTTAAGTTCAATAACGAACGTTTATGCCGAAAAGTAAGTTTTCCATCGAAAAATACACCTTTACGCTGTTCTTAAATGGAAATGTTGTAAGACTGTATGAAATTCCGATCAGATATTCGTACAATTTTTTTGATTTTATAAGAATTAACGGTAACAAAATTAAATCTGTCGAAATATATGTGCAACAAAAACTGAATTTTGTTTTTATTTAACTTTTTTTATTACATATCGTTTATTTTACCTCATAAGAAATATATTGAATTGTTCAAAAAGTTTATTTGCATTTTTACAACACATGATGTCATTAATAAACTGCACTATGTACACATTACCGAATGAAATAAATGCTATATCATTTTATAACTGACAACTTTTTGTGCATTTAAGAAAAAATTATCAAAATCGATCGAGATTTGTAAATTTGGCGTTGTTTTAAATATTGAGTAGAATTAAGTGCATTTCGTAACTTGATGCTTCTTTATAATCAAAAAGACAAAAATGCAACGTAGGTTCTAAACAAGAATTGGATCGCTTATAAAAAATATGCCGCTACAGAAAGAATTCGGTTTACGTTACATGTGATATATTCTGCGCAATATATGAAACGCCGCCAATTTTACAAATCTCAATCGATTTCAACAAATCTTTTGAAATGCGCAGAAAGTTGTCAGTTATAAAATGATATAGCATATTATCTTATTAGATAATGTGTACATAGTGCAATTTAATAATAGAACATCATCTGTTGCAGAAATAAAAACAAACTTTTTGTTCAGTCCAATATAATATTATGTACGATAATTAAATAACACACATCAGTACATGTCAGTTTAATTAAGAATAATCAATGTTTTTTGGGATACCTATTTAATTTTAAAATATATTGTATACCTTTTATTTATTTTCTACATAAATTGATAGTTAGCGTACCATAATTTATAGACGACATTAGATGTAGAAGCTCTGAAAAATTTAGTTTTTATCAGTTGAAAATTATAAAGTTTAATCTTAAAGTTAAAATAACATAAATAAAATAAATTATATCTGTTTATGGTTTTGCAAAGCATTTTATTCAAGAATAAAATAATACGAAATGTATAATACTGCTGCAATATCATTAAAATATTAAATAATATACGTGTACTTTATAATGAGTGTTTGGTTCAGATTATCATAGTAACAAATATTTATTGCCAGCGTCGTGAAGTTTTCAATAGGCGTTCTTTCGAAGACATACCGCACCAAAGGACGCCTCATCAATAATATTCGCAATCTGTTATTTACGTTTTTAGTAGACAATGCGCAGGTCCAGTATACAGAAAAGGGATTTCGAAATTAACGAAGGATTGATCGCGATTCTAGATGCTGTTGTCTTTTGGCCGATCACAGTGACAGACGTCTTCTTGAACTCGTAATTTACTTGGGCATATACGATTAGGCGAGGAATTTAGCAATATCAAACTCGATTTCTTCTATGAAAAAAGAATCCATCGGAACTTGGTATGTGACCTTCAATCAATTTTATTATAACAATGAATTTACTTTTACTATTTAATTAGAGTTGTAATTATTTAAAAGATTCTTGCTTTGTCATTTTTCCTATAACTTTCTTTGTTGTATGTATTTTTGTAAAAACTGAAAACAGATAATATCGAGAGAGTTTATTTTAACATGTAATACATCCAGCAAGGCTGGATTTAATACAGATAATAAATTTTGCTCTTTTATAAGCTTACCTTATGTATTAACGGCTTTTTTCGTCAAATACTGTGTTTAATACTGATACACGCATCGTAACTATAACGCAAAAATTGTTTATTTTATGATTAGCTTATGTTTTAATCGTGACGGAACCAAATAATACAGAACGTGCGAATTCTATTCGAGCGAATAAGACTAACAGATACAACCAATTTTGCGGCACCTTTTTGCATAATAAATATATCGTAGGAATAATTGTTAATATTTTACAATGTTAGTCACATTTCCTCTACAGAGCTATATTCTTTTCTTTTGCTTTATGCATGCATGTAATAAATTTAAAAAAATGCTAATTTTATAGTTGAAACCTATTGTAAAGAATAATTGAATTATATTATGTATTAAAACAAAATAATATAAATTTATGTACATAAATTAGATTAGATTTTATAATTTACTCTTTCAAACATTAATCATTTTTTTATACATGATGTTATAAAATTAAATTTATATAATTTTAGATCAATACGTATAGTAATTATTGATAATAAAATTTTCAAAGAAAGAGACATTATATTGATCATAACTGCTAGAAATTCAATCAAAAAAATACACGAGAAGATGAGTTTTAAAATAAATTTATTATTCATACTTGCTGTCTTCAGCATGGGATACCAATGTAATACAAAACCTGCATCAAGTGAGACACATGTTAAAAGTAAGTACTTTATTTCTTTCATATTAAACGCGCACAGTAATTTTTTATTATATTTGCTATTGTAATACTTTTCATATAATTTAGAGAACTCAAATTAATAATAATTATTTAATGCATATGTTTTGTTATCATAAATGTTATCATAAATGGCCATAATTGCAAATTGCCATAATAATTGCAAGAATTTGAAGTTGTTAGTTTAATTTCATCGCAATGATAGATTGATAGAATAGATATTTTATTTTATATAAATTAATATGTGTGTGTCTTTCTATATAGTTTACTGCATGCGTTATGATATAAGTTCTTGCACAATATACATCTTTTTTACAGATTGTAGCCTTCCAAATGACCTTGGTACTTGCTTCAAGAAGGAGCCGGAACTCAATGAAAGTTATGAATTGAGATATTGGTTTGATTCGTCAAAATCGAAAAATTGTCATCCTTTCATGTACGGAGGCTGCGGAGGAAATGGAAATAATTTTAAAAGTTATGAAGAATGCATAAATACATGCAGTGAAGAATACTTTATATACCTTCACAATGGAAAATTATTTAAATCCAAGTGGGAATAAAAAGTTTTTAAAACATAAAATTTTTTAAGGTTTCTTACATACTCATATGTATTTGTAATAATTTGATATTGAGTTTAAATTGAAGTACTAAATTAAAGACTCTGCGAAGTCTTTGAAAAATATTTGTAAAAGTGTTTTATTTTTACAATAATTGACTGTAATAAAATAAAATGTACGGATATGAATACGTAATGTAAGAATGTATATGTAAAAAAAGGAAAATACTTCTTAATTTAATATTTCTTATATTTTTTATTGCATTGAGCATTTAATACTACATATAGTAATTTAATAACATTAAGACATATAATAATTTGAGTAAAACATAATCAGTGTTTAATAAAATACTCCTCTGGTTTAAAAAATGTAATCTTATATGGAATTACAGTAACTGTACTAAATTGTTATCAAAATTATTATACACATGCAACAAAAGTGTTGTGTTCTTTTTTTATATTTATAGTTAACAAACTGTATAAAGTTGATATGCTTTTTAAATATGTAAGGCAATTAGGGAACAATTTCAATTTAAGTAAAATTAAAATTTTATATTTTTGTTTATTATATATGAGTAGGTAAATATTATAATAACTTGATGTTAAAAAAATTACATTTTTATGCTTTCAAATCTTCAATGTTAATAAAAGTTCAGTGTCGATGAAATTCACTCATGTAAGTCGTGCATCAGTAATAAGTTAACGTTGGGAATAAAAGTAATTATATTGAAATGTGCAGCAAAAAATTGCTTTTTAATTGTTGTTTTCATATCCATAATTGCTCCACTTAATAACATCATTAATTAATATTAGTAATGTTATTACACAAAAACAAGCAGTGTTTACTTAGGGAATAACTCTCTTTACTTATCTTCTTCAAACTTTGTTCTTTTAGAAAAACTTTGTTTTTAATGCTCCTTTTATTCACATTGTTAAATTTTTAATTTTTTGGTTTCTATTATAATTGATTGTTATCATTTGAGCCATTCCTTTATATGTGTTAAATTGTTTTTAGTTTCTATTTATAAAAATTAATAAATGTTTATTTGATGCAATTTTGTTATACTTTATTTGCCATGTATTGTATCGTTTTTACAACTTGGTGCGATTATGATTATAACGTAGATGTTTGCACTTAGTTTCTAGCAAAATATTACTTCGACAAGATACCAAATTAATGTAGAATGTTGAGGAGATTGTGATGGGAATATTAACAAATTCAATAACGCTTATACCGAAAAGTTTGCCTTGTGTCGAAAAATACACTTTCACGCGACTTTTAAATGGAAATGTAAGACTGTATAAAATTCCGATCAGATATTCATACAAATTCTATAATTTTATGAGACTTAACAATAACAAAATTTAATCCGTTGAAATATATGTATAACAGAAACTGAACAGTTTTATTATTTCTATCTGACTTGTTTTATTATATTGTACATTGTTTACTTTACCAAATAAAGAATATATAGAATTGATCAAAAAGTTTGGGCAGTCTTTTGCAACATATGATGTCATTAATAAATTGCACTATGTACACATTATGTAATGAGATAATATTTCACATTATTTTATAACTGACAATTTGCTGCGCGTTTAAAAAGAAAACTTGTTGAAATCAATTAAGATTTGTACATTAGGCGTTGTTTTAAATGTGGAGCAGAATAAAGTGCATTTTCGTTACTTAATACTTTTTTATAATTGGAAAGATAAAAATGCAACAAAGACCCTAAACAAATTTGCGCCGTTTAGAAATATTCTGCAACAGAAAGAATTTGTTTACGTTAGATGTGATTTATTCTATTCCATATTTAAAACGACGCCTAATGTACTAATCTTAATAAATTTTAATAAAACTTCTTAAAATGTGCAGAAAATTGTGAGTTATAAAATAATACAGTATATTATTATATTAGAAAATATATGCATAGTGCAATTTTTATTAATGCAACATCATCTGCTGCAAAAATACGAACAAACTTTATCATCAACCCAATATATTACTATGTATAATAATTGATAAACATCAAAATTTGGAAGTTTAATTAAGAATAATCAATGTTTCTTGGGATACCTATGTAATTTTACAATTTTATATACTTTCTATTTATTTTCTACACAAATTGAACACAGTTAGCATCACATAAATTATAGACAAAATTAGACAAAGCACTGTGAAATTTAATTCCAGTTGGTTGAGAACAAATTATAAAGTTTAATCTTAAAGTTTAAACAATATAAATAAAATAAATAACATTTATTTCGAGATTTGCAAAATATTTTATTCAAAATAAAGTAATACGGAATATATATAATATTGCTGCAATATTATTAAAATTTTAAATAATATACACGTACTTTATGATGACTGTACGGTTGAGATTATCATAATAACAAATGTTTATTGCAAGCACCGTGAAATTTTCGGTAGGTGTCCTTTTGGAGGTATATTGCACGGTATACCGCAACAATGATATTTGCAATTTATCAGCCACGTTATTAGTAGACAATGCGGACGCTCTACGATTACTGATAGAGCATTTTAGAATCGACGTAGGGTCGATCACGATTATACATGCTTTTGTCTTTTGGCCAACTACAGTAGCAGACGTCTTTTAAACTCGTGATTTACTAAGGAATGTACGATTAGACAAGGAATTATATCAAACTAAATTTCTTCTTAGGAAAAGAAATCTCGGAACTTGGTAAGTAATCTTTAATCAATTTTATTATAACGTTAAATTTACTTTTACTATTTAATTACAGTCGAAATTATTTAAATGATTTTTGTTTTGCCATAACTTTTTCTATAACTTTCTTTATTATGTACATTTTTGTGAAAAGTAAAACATGATAACGAGAGAGTTTATTTTAACATGTAATACATCTAGCAAAAATTTAAATATTCCTAGATTTATTACAGGTAACAAATTTTGCTTTTTTATAAGCAAATCTTACATATTAACGACTTTTTCCGCCAAATGTTGTGTTTAATATACATATACACATCGTAATTATAACGCAAATATTGTTTACGCTATGATTAGCTTATGTTTTAATCGTTACGGAACCAAATAATGCGGAACGTGCAAATTCTTTTCAAGCCAATAAGACTTATATACAAGTTTTGTGGCACCTATTTTATAGCAAACGTATCGAATGAATAATTGTTAATATTTTACAATGCTAGTCACATTTCCTCTACAGAGTTAAATTCTTCTCTTTTGTTTTATGCATGCATGTGATAAATTAAAAAAAATGCTAATTTTATAATTTAAACTTATTGTAAAGAATAGATGAATTATGTTATCCTTTAAAACAAATAATATAAATTTAAGTACATAAATTAAATCAGGTTTTATAGTTTACTTGTTTGGACATTTCCATAATCCTCTTTTATATACGAAGTTATCAAAAGTAAATTTATATAATTTCAGATCAGTACGTACAGTAATTATTGATAATAAAATTTACAGAGAAAGACATTATATTGGTCATAACTGCTGAAAATTCAATCAAAAAAATGCACGAGAAAATGGGTTTTAAAATAAACTTATTATTCATACTTGTTGTCTTCAGCATGTTTAGCATGGGATATCAATGTAATACAAAACCTCCATCAAGTGAGACATATGTTGAAAGTAAGTACTTTATTTCTCTTATATCGAACACGTACAGTAATTTATTGCTATATTGGCTATTATAGTACTTTTCATATAATTTGGAAAACTCTAATTGTTAATAATTATTTAATGCATAAATTTAGTTATCATAAATTGGCATAAGTTGCAAAAATTTGAAGTTTTTCGTTTAAATTTACTGGAATGATAGATTGGTAGAATAGATATTTTATTTTATATAAATTAATATGTGTGTCTTTCTATAGTTTACTGCGTGCGTTATGATTTAAGTAGTTGCAGAATGTACATCTTTTTTACAGATTGTAGCCTTCCAAAGGATCCTGGTGCTTGCTTCACGAAAGAGTTGAAACTTAATAAAAATTATGAATTGAGATATTGGTTTGATTCGTCAAAAACAAAAAATTGTCATTCTTTCTTGTACGGGGGCTGCGGAGGAAATGGAAATAATTTTAAAAGTTATGAGGAATGCATAACTACATGCAGTGAAGAATACTCTATATACCTTAACGATCAAGAATTTTTTAAATCTATTCAAACATATAGAAATCTTTAAAACATAAAATTTTGGGGGATTTTCAATATATTGATATGTATTTGTAATAGCTTAATACTAAGTTTAAATAAAAGTACTAAATGAAAGACTGTGTGAAGTCTTTATAAAATACTTGTAAAAAGGTGTTATTTTTACAATAAATGACTGTAATAAAATAAAATGTACGGATATGTACATGAAATGTATATTAAAATACGTATGTAAATAAAGGAAAAATCTTCTTATTTTAATATTTTTTATATTTTTCATGATATTGGGCTTTTAATACTACATATAATAATTTAACAACATTAAGACATATAATAATATGAGTAAAACATAATCACTGTTTAATGAAATAGTTTTCTGGTTTAAAAAATGTAATCTTATATGGAATTTCCGTAATTGTACTAAATTGTTATCAAAATTATTACACACATGCAACAGAAGCGTTGTGTTCTTTTTTTATATTTAGATATTTAACAAATCGTATAAAAGTTGATATGCTTTTCAAATATGTAAGGCAATTAGAAAACAATTTTTCAAGTAAAAAGAATTGAAATTTTAAACCTTCCTAACTTTTTTATAATTTATGAATAGATAAATATTATAATAACTTGATGTTAAATAAATTACATTTGTATGATTTCAATTCTTCAGTGTCAATATAAATTCAGTGTCGATCGATTACACTCTTGTAAGTCGTGCATCAGTAATAAGTTGGCATTGAAGATAAAAGTAATTATATTAAAACGTACACCGAAAAATTGCTTTTTAATTGCTCCTTTCACATCCATAATTGTTTCACTTAATTAATTCATATTAACAATGTCATTACATAAAAACGATCACCAATGTTTACTTAGGAAATAACTCTCTTTACATTTAGATTCTTCAAAATTTGTTCTTCTAAAAAAACTCCTCAATTGCTCGTTTTATTCCAATTGCTAAATTTTTAATTTTTTAAAATTTTATTTGTAAAAATTAACAACTGTTTATTTAATGCAATTTTAATATACTTAATTTGACGTATATTGTATCGTTCTTCCAGCTTGGTGGTGCGATTATGATTATTACGTAGGTCTTTGCACTCATTTTCAAGTAAAAGATTATTACAACAAAGTATTAAATTAATGTAAAATGTTGGGGAGATTGTGATGGGAATACTAACGAATTCAATAACGCTTATACCGAAAAGTTTGCCTTCTGTCAAAAAACACACTTTCACGCGGTTTTTAAATGGAAACGTAAGACTGTATGAAATTCTGATCAGATATTCATACAAATACATTAATTTTATAAGACTTAACGGTAACAAAATATAATCCATTAAAATAAATGTATAACAGAAACTCAACATTTTTATCATTTCTATCTGATTTTTTTTATTCCATATCGTTTATTTTACTACATAAGAAATATATAAGGTTGATCAAAAAGTTTGGACATTTTTTCCAACATATGATGTCATTAATAAATTGCACTATGTACACATTATGTAATGAGATAATATATCACATCTTTTTATAACTGACAACTTTCTGTGCATTTAAAAAAAAAATTTATTGAAATCGATGAAGATTTGTAAATCAAGCGTTGTTTTAAATGTAGAGCAGAATAAAGTGCATTTCCGTTACTTAATAATTTTTTATAATCGGAAAGATAAAAATGCAACGTAGGACCTAAACAAACTTGCGTCGTTTATAAAGAATATTTCGCAATAGAAAGAATTTGTATAGGTTAGATATGATTTATTCTATTCCATATTTAAAACGACGCCTAATGTACAAATCTCAACAAATTTCAATAAAACTTTTTAAAATGTGCAAAAAGTTGTGAGTTATAAAATGATACTGTATATTATCTTATTAGATGATATATACATAGTTCAATTTTTAATAATGCAACATTATCTGCTGCAAAAATGCGAATAAACTTTTTCATCAATCCAATATAATATCATGTACAATAATTTAATAACATAAGAATATAGATGTTTAAAAATAATCAATGTTCCTTGGGATACCTATGTAATTTTTAAATATTATATATTTTGTATCCATTTTTTTATACATAAATTTCAAAATATATAATATTGCTGCGATATTAAAATATAAAAAGATATTAAATTAGATATTAAACAGCCGGGGATAAAGATATTAATATATAAAAAGATATTAAAATATTAAATAATATACACGTATTTTACGATAAATGTACGATGCAGATTATCATAGTAACAAATATTTATTGCAAATGCCGTGAAATTTTCAATAGGCATCCTTTCGAAGCCTTAGCGCACGGTATACCACAACGACGATATTTGCAATTTACCAGTCACGTTATGAGTAGACAATGCGCAGGCTCTGTGTACAGAAAGGAGATTTCGGAATCAACAAAGAATCGATCGCGATCCTCGATGCTATTGTCCTTTGGCCGACCACAGTAACAGACGTCTCCTACAACTCGTGATTTACTTGGGCATGTACGATCAGTCGAGGAATTAAGCAATATCAAACTCGATTTCTTCTATGAAAAAGAAATCCATCGAAATTTGGTAAGTGACCTTTAATCAATTTTATTATAACATTAAATTTACTTTTACTATTTAATTAGAGTTGAAATTATTTCAACAATTTTTGTTTTGCTAGTTTTCCTATAACTTTCTTTGTTATATGCATTTTTGTGAAAAGTAAAACAAATGATATATCGAGAGAATTTATTTTAAAAGAATAAATGAGAAGCTAAACAGCCGTAGCTAGATCGCCGTGCTAGTGTATTCGAAGACAAATTATAAAAACAACGTTTCGACATGTTATCAGGTCTTCTTCAAGTTCACAATAAATAAGCAATTACATTACAAATTATAACGCTTTTTCGGACCAAATAAACAATTATTACAAAACATCGTTGATTTGTGTTGGTGTCAGTACGCAGTTATGTAATAAAATGGATGCAATGCTGAAGTCAATAACAAATATCAATGAATTACTATTGTTAGTCATTATTTTTATTGACACTAAAACGCAAATAAGTTTGAAAATTAAAAATTGAAATTATAATAAGAATAAACGCAACAAAATTGAAAATATACATACATTATTCTACAATTACACACATCATACTATAATAATTGTTTAATAGGTTCGAAAAAGAGTTATAATTTGTAATGTAATTTCTTATTTATTGTAAACTTGAAGGAAACCTGATAACAAATCGAAACGTTGTTTTCATAATTTGTCTTCGAATACACAAGCACGACCATCTAGCAACGGCTCTGTTTAGCTTCTTATTTATTCTTTTAAATTTTACATAATTATTTCGGCTTTATTATATTTAAAGTTGAATTTATTATAACATATATTACATCCAGCAAGATTGGATTTAATATTGGTAAGTAATAACTTTTATCCTTATATAAAGCAAATCTTATGCATCAACGATTTCTTTCGTTAAAGTGCTATGTTTAATACTCATGCAGTTTATGTTTTAATCGTAACGAGATCAAATAATACGAAACGTGCAAATTCTATTCGAGCTAATAAAGCTAATAGACACAATAAATTTTGTGGCACCATTTTGCATAGTAAACTTATCGAAAGAATAATTGTTAATATTTGACAATGTTAGCCACATTTCTTCTACAGAGCTATATTCCTTGTTTTTGCTATCTGCATGCATATAATAAATAATAAAAAATGCTAATTTGACAATTTGAATATATTGTAAAGAATAGACAAATTACACGATTCATTCAAATAAATAATATATAAATTCGTGTACGTAAATCAGATTAGATTTTATGATTTACTTGTTTGAAGATTCATCTTTTTTTTATATTCAATGTTATCAAAATTAAATTTATATAATTTCAGATCAGTACGTATAATAATCATTGATAATAAACTTTTTAGAGAAAGAGACATTATATTGATCATAACTGCTAGAAATTCGATCAAAAACGACACACGAGAAGATGGGTTTCAAAATAAACTTGTTATTCATGCTTGTCCTTAGCATGTTCAGCATGGGATATACTATAAGACACTTGCATTACTATGAAAGATGTAAGTGTTTTATTTCTTTCACATTGAACACAGTTATATATTATTATATTTGCTATTATAATATTTTTCATATAATTTAAAAAACTCAAATTGTTAATAATTACTTAATGCATATGTTTTGTTATCTTAAGTTGCCATATGTTGCAAAAATTTGAAGTTGACAGTTTAATTTTATTGCAATGACAGATTGATAGAATAGAAATCTTATTGTGTATAAATTAATATGTATCCTTTTATAAGTTACTGCATGTGTTATGATTTAACTTTTTGCACAATGTATGTCTCTTTTATAGACAATATTACCCGTGGACATGGCCGTTTTATTTTATTTCCGCACAGGCCATCGTTGAGGGACGAGATACGTTTCGGAAATCTCAAAAACTGGTCTCACTTTACTGAATAGGGATAGCGGAAAAAATAGAATTAATTTTAAAAATTATCAATGCATGAAAACATGCTGTCAATAATACTCTATATATCTTAACAATGAAGAATATTTTAAATTCATTCAAGAATATAAAATTCTTGAAAAAAAATTTTTTAGAATTTCCTACATGTTTATATGAATTTATAATAATTTAATATTGAATTTAAATTGAAATACTAAATGAAAGACTCTGCGAAGTCTTTATAAAATACTTGCAAAAGTGTTTTATTTTTACGATAAATGACTGTAATAAAATGAAGTGTACGGATATGTATATGAAATATGTAGGAATATATATGTAAATAAAAGAAAGTACTCTTTAATTTATTATTATTATCATTTTCATTGGATATTTTTCCATATTGGGCATTTAATACTACATTTAATAATTTAATAACATTAAGACATAATAATTTCAGTAAAACATAATCAGTTTTTAATGAAATATTTCTCTGGTTCAAAAAATGTAATCGTATATAGAATTATTGTAATTGTATTAAATTTTTTTAAAAATAAGTGCACACACGCAACAGTGCTCTGCTCCTTTTTTATATATGCAGGTATTTAATAAATTGAATAAAGTTTGATGTGCTTTTTAAATATGTAAAACAATTAGGAAACAATTTCAAGTGAAAAGAATTAAAATTTTAGAATTTTCTAACTTTATTTATTGTTTATGAGTAGATAAACATATAATAAATATTATAATAACTTAAATAAATTACATTTTATGATGTCAAATATTCAGTCAAATGTTTGATATATCGATTAAATGTACTCTATCCAATCATACATCAGTAATATGTTGGCGTTGTGGAAAGAAAAGTAATTATATTGTAACATACGCAAAACATACAAAAAATCGCTATTTAATTGTTCCTTTGATATCCGTAAATGCTCACACTTATTTTAAAGCGAAATATTACTACGGCAAAGTAAAAAATGCATGTAGAACGTTGTGTGGGAGATTGTGATGAGAATGCTAACGAATTCAATAACGCTTATACCGGAAAGTTTGCCTTCTGCCGAAAAATACAACTTTACGCGGTTTTTAAATAGAAATGTAAGACTGTGAAATTCTGATCAAATATTCAACAAACTCTTTAATTTTATAAGATTTAATGATAATAAAATTAAATGTATCGAAAGGTATATGCAACAGAAATTGAAAATTGTTTTTGTTTTTATTTAACTATTTTTATTACATATCGTTTATTTTATCACATAAGAAATATGTTGGGTTCATCAAAAATTTTTTAGATTTTATTGCAACATATGATATCATTAAAAAAATGCACTATATACATTATCTGGAATAATACACTATATCATTTTTTAACTGCCAAATTTCTGCGCATTTGAAAAAAATTCGTAGAAATTAATTAAGAATTGTAAATTAGATGTTGTTTTAAATGTGGAACCAAATAAAGTGCATTTCCGTTACTTGATGCTTTTTATCGATAAGACAAAAATGCAATGTAGACTTTAAAAAAGATTTGCGCCATTAAAAAAAGTATGCTGTATCAGAAAGCACATGGTTTACGTCAGATGTAATTTATTCTACTGTATATTTAAAACAACGCAAATTTTACACATCTTAATAAATTTTAATAAAATGTTTTTAAATGCGTGGAAAGTTATCAGTTATAAAATAATATAGCATATTAATTTATAATGTGTACATAGTGCAATGTAGTAACGCACCATCATCTGTTGCAAAAATGCGAACCAACTTTATCATCAACCCAATATAATACTATGTACAATAATTGAATAACGTCAAAACATGGAAGTTTAATTAAGAATAATCAATGTTTCTTGGAATATCTTTATAATTTTAAAATATTACATACTTTCTATCCATTTTCTACATATATTGAATACAGTTAGCGTCCCATAATTTATAGACGAAATTACATGCAAAAGCTCTGCGACTTTAATTTTAATGTGTCGGAAACAAACTATATGTTTTCCACACATACTACAAAGACTCGCAATTTATCATTTACGTATTTAGTAAACAATGCGCAGGCTCTGTGTACAGGAAGGGGAATTCGGAATAAAAAGAGGATCGATCGCGATCCTCGATGCTGTTGTCTTTTGGCCGGCCGCAGTAACAAACGTCTCTTCAACTTGTGATTTACTTGAGCATGTACAATTAGTCGAGGAATTTAGCTATATCAAATTCGATTTTTTCTTAGAAAAAAAAATTCGTTGGAACTTGGTAAGTGATCTTCAATCAATTTTATTATGACATTAAATTTACTTTTACTATTTAATTAGAGTTGAAATAATTTAAACGATTCTTGTTCCGTCATGATTTCAATAACTTTTTTTGTATACATTTTTGTGAAAAATAAAACAGGTGATATCGAGAGAATTTAATTTAACATATGTTACATCCAGCAAGGTTGGATTTAATATAGGCAATAAATTTTTCTTCTTATATAAAGCAAATTTCATGCATTAACGAATATCTTTCGTCAAAGTGCTATGTTTAATACTTATACACGCATCGGAACTATAATGCAAAAATTGTTTACTTTATGATTAGTTTATGTTTTAATTATACTGAGACCATATAATGCGAAATGTGCAAATAAGACTATATAATAATATAGTCTTATATAATAAGACTATATATATAATAGATACAACCTATTCTGCGACATCTTTTACATAATAAACGAAGAAATATCGAAAGAATTGTCGTTAATATTTTACAATGTTAGTCACATTTCCTCTGCAGAACTACATTCTTTTTTTGCTATGTGCATGAATTTGACAAATAATTTAAAAATCCTAATTTTATAATTTATACATGTTGTAAAGAATAGATAAATAATATTATTTATTAGAACAAATAATTTAAATTTTTGTACATAAATCAGATTAGATTTTATGATTTACTTGTTCGAACATTAATCTTTTTTTATATATAATGTTATGTAATTAAGTTTATATAAATTTAGATTAGTACGTGTAGTAATTATTTATAATAAAATTTTCAGAGAAGGAGATATTATATTCATCAAACGTAACTGCGAGAAATTCAGTCAAGACAACACATGAGAAAATGGGCTTCAAACTAAACTTGTTATTCATATTTGATGTCTTCAGCCTGTTAAGCATGTGGTACTTATGTCCTTCAATAGCAGATTCGTCTCATCATTCACCTGTGTGGCCTAAAAGTAAGTGTTTTATTTCTCTTACACTCATAGCAATCTTTTATTATATTTACTATTATGATACTTTTAATTTAATTTAGAAAACACAAATTGTTAATAATTATTTAATGCATATATTTTGTTATCATAAACTGCCATAAGTTGCAAAAATTTGAAGTTGTCATTTTAATTTTACCGCAATGATAAATTGATAAAATAGATATTTTATTGTACGTAAATTAATATTTCTTCTTTTATAGTTTACAGCATACGTTATGATTTAAGTTCTTGCACAATGTATATCTTTTTTACAGATTGTGTTCATCTGTATGACCGTGGTCCTTGCTTCTCGGAGGACATGAGAATTAATGGAACTTTTCAGTGGAGATATTGGTTTGATTCGTATGAGACGTTGGATTGTAAGCGTTTTGAGTACGGTGGTTGCGGAGGAAATGGAAATAATTATGTAACTTCACAAGAATGCTATGAAAAATGCTATGATATCTACTCTGTACGTCAGTATCAAGATGTCTTGAAAGAAAGACAAAATTCTAACATTCGAAGAGGAAATTACAACCGTCGAAGGAGAATTACAGATCTTTAAAACATAAAATTTTTGAGGATGTCCCATATATTGATATATATTTGTAATAGTTTGATATTGAGTTTCAATAGAAGTACAAAATGAAAGACTCTGCGAAGTCTTTATAAAATACTTATAAAAGAGTTTTATTTTTACAATTATTGACTGTATTAAAATGAAATATACGGATATGTATATAAAATATGTAGGAATATATATGTAAATAAAGAAAAGTATATCTTAATTTATTATTTCTGATTTTTTTTATTATATTGAACATTTAATATTACGCATAATAATTTAATAATATTAAAAAATATAATAATTTAAATAAAACATATTCAGTGTTTAATAAAATATTTCTTTTGTTTAAAAAATATTATCTATGGAATTACCGTAATTGTACTAAATTATTATCAAAATTATTCCACACTTGCAACAGAAGTTTTGATCATTTTTTATATTTATAGTTAACAAACTGTATAAAGTTGATATGCTTTTTAATTATGTAAGGCAATTAGGGAACAATTTCAATTTTAGTGGAATTAAAATTTTATATCTTTGTTTATGATTTATGAGTAGGTAAATATTATAATAACTTGATGTTAAAAGAATTACAATTTTATGATTTCAAATCTTTGGTGTCAATAAAAGTTCAGTGTTGATGAAATTCGCTCTTGTAAGTCGTCCATCAGTAATAAGTTAGCGTTGAGGATAAAAGTAATTATATTGAAGTGTGCAGCAAAAAATTGCTCTTTAATTGTTCTTTGCATATTCATAATTGCTTTACTTAATAATATTATTAATTAATATTAATAATGTTATTACACAAAAACAGCCACTAGTGTTTATTTAGGAAGTAACTCTCTTTACACTTAGTTTCTTCAAAATTTGTTCTTCTAAAAAAACTTCTCCTCAATTGCTTGTTTTATTCCAATTGCTAAATTTTTAATTTTTTCAAATTTTATTTATAAAAATTAATTACTGTTTATTTAATGCAATTTCAATATACTTGATTTCACGTGTATTGTATCGTTCTTCCAGCTTGGTGGTGCAATTATGATTATTCCGTAGGTTCTTGCACTCATTTTCAAGTAAAATATTATTACAACAAAATAAAAAATAAATGTAGAATGTTGTGTGGGAGATTGTGATGCGAATGCTAACGAATTCAATAACGCTTATACTGGAAAGTTTGCCTTTTGCTAAAATATACACTTTCACGCAATTATCAACTGAAATTGTAAGACTGTATAAAATTCTGATCAAATATTCATACAAATACATTAATTTTATAAGACTTAACGGTAACAAAATATAATCCGTTAAAATAAATGTATAACAGAAACTGAACATTATTATCATTTCTATCTGACTTTTTTTATTACATGTCGTTTATTTTACCACATAAGAAATATATAAGGTTGATTAAAAAGTTTGGACATTTTTTCCAACATATGACGTCATTAATAAATTGCACTATGTACACATTATGTAATGAGATAATATACTGTATTATTTTATAACTGACAACTTTCTACGCATTAAAAAAAAATGTGTACAAAACGATTTAAAATTGTAAACTTGACGTTGTTTTAAATGTAGAGCAGAATAAAGTGCATTTCCTTTACTTAAAGCTTTTTTATAATCGGAGAGATAAAAAAGCAACAAAAATTTTAAACAAATTTGCACCGTTTATAAAGAATATTTTGCAATAGAAAAAATTTGTTTCGATTAGATGTGATTTATTCTATTCCATATTTAAAACGGCGCCTAAAGTACAAATCTCAATAAATTTCAATAAAACTTTTTAAAATGTGTAGAAAGTTGTGAGTTATAAAATGATACTATATATTATCTTATTAGATGATATATACATAGTTCAATTTTTAATAATGCAACATCATCTGCTGCAAAAATGCGAATAAACTTTTTCATCAGTCAATATTATATACTTTGTATCCATTTTTCTATACATAAATTAAACACAGTTAGCGTTCTATAATTTATAGAGAAAATTACATGTAAAAGTTCTTCGAAATTAAGTTTCAATGTGTTGGAAACAAACTTTAAAGTTAAACAACTATAAAGTTCAATCTTTAAGTTGAAACAACATAAATAAAATAAATAATATCTGTTTCAAGATTTGCAAAACATTTTATTTAAAAATGAAGTAATAGGAAATTTATAACATTGCTGCAATATTAATGAAATGGTAAATAATGTACAGATACTTTATGATAAGTATACAGTTCAGATTATCATAGTAACAAATAAATAATTGCGAGCACCTTGAAATTTTCGGTAGGTGTCCTTTCGAAGCCTGATAGCACGGTATACCACAACGATGATATTCGCAATTCATCAGTCACGTTTCGCGTAGACAATGCGCAAGCTCAGCGTATGGTTACAGAAAGGGGATTTTGGTATCAACGAAGAATCGATCGTGATCTTCGATACTGTTGTCGTTTGGCCGACTACGGTAAAAAAAGTGTCTTCAACTCGTGATTTACTTAGGCATGTACAATTGGACTAAGAAATTAGGCGTATCAAACTTTATTCTTTTTAGGAAAAGACATCTCAGAACTTTGGTAAATAACTTTTAATCAAATTTATTACAACAATAAATTTTCCTCTATTTTTTAATTGCAATTGAAATTATTTAAACGATTCTTGTTTTGTCATTTTTCTTATAACTTTTTTTGTTATATGCATTTTTGTGAAAAATAAAACAGATGATATCTAGAGAATTTAATTAAACATATGTTACATCCAGCAAGGTTGGATTTAGTATAAACAATAAATTTTGTTCTTATATAAAGCAAATTTTATGCATTAACGATATCTTTCCTCAAAGTGCTATGTTTAATATTCATACACGCATCGTAACTATAATGCAAAAATTGTTTACTCTATGATTAGTTTATGTTTTAATTATACTGAGACCATATAATGCGAAACGTGCGAATAAGACTAATAGATACAATTTATTCTGCGACATCTTTTACATAATAAATGAAGAAATATCGAAGGAATTGTCGTTAATATTTTACAATGTTAGTCACATTTTCTCTGCAGAACTACATTCTTTTTTTGCTATGTGCATGAATTTGACAAATAATTTAAAAATCCTAATTTTATAATTTAAACTTGTTGTAAAGAATAGATAAATGATATTATTTATTAGAACAAATAATATAAATTTGTGTACATAAATCAGATTAAATTTTATGATTTACTTGTTTTAACATTAATCTTTTTATATGTATATAATGTTATAAATTTAAATTTATATAATTTTAGATCAGTACGTATAGTAATTATTCATAATAAAATTCTCAGAGAAGGAGATATTATTTTGATTATAACTGCTAAAAGTTCAATCAAAACGATACACAAGATGTGTTTTAAAGTAAACTTGCTATTCATACTTGCTGTCTTCAGCTTGTTTAATATAAAGTACCTATGTTCTTCAAAATCAGTTTCACCTCCTTATGTGCCACCTAAAAGTAAGTGTTTTATTTCTCTCACATTGAACACTTACAGTGTTCTTTTATTGCATTTACTATTATAATTTAATAACTTTTAATTTAATTTGGAAAACACAAATTGTTAATAATTATTTAATGTATACATTTTGTTATTATAAATTCCTATAAGTTACAAAACTTTGAAGTTTTTAGTTTAATTTTACTGCAATGATAAATTGATAGAATAGATATGTTGTTGTACATAAATATTACATTTTTTTTTTTTATAGTTTACTGCATGCGTTATGATTTATGTTCTTGCACAATGTATAGCTTTTTACAGATTGTGACCGTCCGTATGACCGTGGTCCTTGCTTCTCGGAGGACATGAGAATCAGTAGAACTTTTCAGTGGAGATATTGGTTTGATGTGTATGAGTCGTTCGATTGTGAGCGTTTTGAGTACGGGGGTTGCGGAGGAAATGGAAATAATTATTTAAGTTATCAAGAATGCTATGATGAATGCTATGATAAATACACTAAACATCGGCAACGAAAGACGATAAATCTCGAAAAAGAAAGAAATGATTACAACATTCGAAGAGGAAATACGGATTTTTAAAACATAAAATTTTTTAGGATGTTCCATATATTGATATATGTTTGTTATAGTTTGATATTGAGTTTTAATAGAAGCACTAAATGAAAAACTCTGTGAAGTCTTTATGAAATACTTATAAAAGTGTTTTATTTTTACAATAATTGACAATAATAAAATGAAATGTACAGATATGTATATGAAATATGTAGGAATACATGTATATATGTAAATAAATAAAATTAATTTTTACTTTATTATTTCTGATTTTTTTTCATTGTATTGGACATTTAATATTACGTATAATAATTTAAAAATATTAAGGCATATAATAATTTAAATAAAACATAATTAGTGTTTAATAAAATATTTCTTTTGTTTAAAAAATATCATCTTATATAGAATTACCGTAAATGTACTAAATTATTATCAAAATTATTCCACATTTGCAACAAAAGTTTTGTTCCTTTTTTATATTTATATTTAACAAACTGTATAAAGTTGATATGCTTTTTTAATATGTAATGGAACAATTTCAATTTAAGTAAAATTAAAATTTTATATCTTTGTTTATTATTTATGAGTAGGTAAATGTTATAATAACTTGATGTTAAAGAAATTACATTTTTATGATTTCAAATCTTCAAGTGTCAATAAAAGTTTAGTGTCGATGAAATTCACTCTTGTAAGTCGTGCATCAGTAATTAATTAGCGTTGGGGATAAAAGTAATTATATTGAAATGTGCAGCAAAATATTGCTCTTTAATTGTTCCTTCCATATTCATAATTGCTCTATCTAATAATATTATTAATTAATATTTATAATGTTATTACACAAAAACAGTTACCAGTGTTTACTTAGGAAATAACTCTCTTTACACTCAGTTTCTTCAAAATTTGTTCTTTTAGAAAAGCTTCTTTTTAATTGCTTCTTTTATTCACATTGTTGAATTTTTAATTTGTTAGTTTTTATTTATAAAAATTAATAAATGTTTATTTGGTGCAATTTTGTTATACTTTATTTGCCATGTATTGTATCGTTTTTATAGCTTGGTATTGCGATTATGATTATAACGTAAATGTTTGCACTCAGTTTCTAGCAAAATGTTACTTTGACAAAGTATTAAATTAATGTAAAATGTTGGGGAGATTGTGATGGGAATACTAACGAATTCAATAACGCTTATACCGAAAAGTTTGCCTCCTGTCAAAAAACACACTTTCACGCGGTTTTTAAATGGAAACGTAAGGCTGTACGAAATTCTGATCAAATATTCATACAAATTCTTTAATTTTATGAGACTTATCGATAATAAAATTTAATCCGTTGAAATATATGTATAACAGAAACTGAACATTTTTATCATTTCTATCTGACTTATTAACTTATATATCGTTTATTTTATCACATAAAGAATATATTGGAATACACATCCAAAAAGTTTGAACATTTTTTTGCTACATATGATGTCATTAAGAAATTGCACTATGTACACATTGTGTAATGAGAAAATATATCATATCATTTTATAACTGACAACTTGCTGCGCGTTTAAAAAGAAAATTTGTTGAAATCGATTGAGATTTGTAAATTAGGCATTGTTTTAAATGTGAAGCAAAATGCAATGCATTTACTTAATACTTTTTTATAATCGGAAAAATAAAAATGCAACGTAAACCCTAAACAAATTTGCGCCGTTTATAAAGAATATTTCGCAATAGAAAGAATTTGTTTACGTTAGATGTGATTTATTCTATTCCATATTTAAAATGACGCCTAATGTACAAATCTCAATAAATTTTAATAAAACTTTTTAAAATGTGCAGAAAATTGTAAGTTAGAAAATGATACAGTATATTATTTTATTAGATAATATATACATAGTGCAATTTTTATTAATGCAACATTATCTGCTGTAAAAATGCGAATAAACTTTTTCATTAGTCCAATATAATACCATGTACAATAATTTAATAACATAAGAATATAGATGTTTAAGAATAATCAATGTTTCTTGGGATACCTATGTAATTTTTAAATATTATATACTTTGTATCCATTTTTCTATACATAAATTAAACACAGATAGTGTTCCATAATTTATAGAGAAAATTAGATATAAAAGCTCTGCGAAATTAAGTTTTAATGTGTTAAAAACAAACTATAAAATAAAATCTTAAAGTTAAAACGACATAAATAAGATAAGTAATATCTGTTTCGGGATTTGCAAAACATTTTACTCAAAAATGAAGTAATAGAAAATATATAATATTGCTGCAATATTATTGAAATATTAAATAATGTACAGGTACTTTATGATAAGTGTACGGTTCAGATTATCATAGTAACAAATACATTATTGCGAGCACCGTGAAATTTTCGGTAGGTGTCCTTTCGAAGCCTGATAGCATGGAATACCATAACGATGATATTCACAATTTATCAGTGACGTTACGCGTAAACAATGCGCAGGCTCTGTGTACAGGAAGGGGAATTTGGAATAAAAAAAGGATCGATCGCGATCCTCGATGCTGTTGTCTTTTGGCCGACCACAGTAACAAACGTCTCTTCAACTCATAATTTACTTGGGCATGTACGATCAGTCAAGGAATTTAGCAATATCAAACTCGATTTCTTCTTACGAAAAGAAATTTATTGGAACTTGGTAAATGATCTTCAATCAATTTTATTACAGTAATAAATTTACCTCTATTTTCTAGTTAGAGTTAAAATTATTTAAACAATTCTTGTTTTGCCATTTTTTCTATAACTTTCTTTGTTATATGCATTTTTGTGAAAAATGAAACAGGTGATTTTAATTTAATTTAACATATGTTACATCTAGGTTGGATTTAATATAGGCAATAAATTTTGTTCTTATATAAAGCAAATCTTATGCATTAACGATATCTTTCCTCAAAGTGCTATGTTTAATACTCATACACGCATCGTAACTATAATGCAAAAATTGTTCATTCTATGATTAGTTTATGTTTTATTTGTACCGAGACCATATAATGCGAAACGTGCGAATAAGACTAATAGATACAACCAATTCTGCGGCACTTTTTGCATAATAAACGAAAGAATATTGAAGGAATTGTCGTTAATACTTTACAATGTTAGTCACATTTCTTCTGCAGAACTACATTCTTTTTTTGCTATGTGCATGCATTTGATATTTAATTTAAAAATCTTAATTTTATAATTTAAACATATTGTAATAATAGATAAAGAATAGATAAATAATATTATTTATTAGAACAAATAATTTAAATTTTTGTACATAAATCTGATTAGATATATACTGATTAGATTTTATGATTAATTTGTTTGAACATTAATCTGTTTTTATATATGATGTTATGTAATTAAATTTATATAATTTCAGATCAGTACGTATATATATAATAATTTTTCATAATAAAATTTTCGGAGTAGATATTATATTCATCAAACGTAACTGCGAGAAATTCAGTCAAGACAACACACGAGAAAATGGGCTTCAAACTAAATTTGTTATTCATATTTGATGTCTTCAGCCTGTTGAGTATGTGGTACTTATGTCCTTTAATAGCAGATTCGTCTCTTCATTTTCCTCTGTGGCCTAAAAGTAAGTGTTTTATTTCTCTTACATTGAACACTCACAGTAATTTTTTATTATATTTACTATTATGATACTTTTAATTTAATTTAGAAAACACAAATTGTTAATAATTATTTAATGCATATATTTTGTTATCATAAACTGCCAAAGTTGCAAAAATTTGAAGTTGTCATTTTAATTTTACCGCAATGATAAATTGATAGAATAAATATTTTATTGTACGTAAATTAATATTTTTTCTTTTATAGCATACAGCATACGTTATGATTTAAGTTCTTGCACAATGTATATCTTTTTTACAGATTGTGTTCTTGTGTATGACCGTGGTCCTTGCTTTTCGGAGGACATGAGAATCAATGGAACTTTTCAGTGGAGATATTGGTTTGATTCGTATGAGACGTTAGCTTGTAAGCGTTTTGAGTACGGGGGTTGCGGAGGAAATGGAAATAATTATGTAACTTTACAAGAATGCTATGATAAATGCTATGATATCTTAGCTTAAACGTCAGTATCAAAATGTCTTGAGAGAAAGACAAAATTGCAACATTCGAAGAGGAAATTACAACCGTCGAATAGGAATTACGGATCTTTAATACACAAAAATTTTTTTATAATGTCTCATATATTGATATATATTTGTAATAGTTTGACATTGAGTTTCAATGGAAGTACTAAATGAAAGATTTTGTGAAGTCTTTATAAAATACTTATAAAAGTGTTTTATTTTTACAATTATTGACTGAAAATAAAATAAAATGTACGGATATGTATATAAAATATGTAGGAATATATATGTAAATTTGCGTCGTTTATAAAGAATATTTCGCAATAGAAGAAATTTGTTTACGTTAGATGTGATTTATTTATTGCATACTTAAAATGACGCCTAATGTACAAATCTCAATAAATTTTAATAAAACTTTTTAAAATGTGCAGAAAGTTGTGAGTTATAAAATGATGATGATGATATATTATTTTATTAGATAATATACTGTACATAGTGCAATTTTTATTAATGCAACATTATCTGCTGCAAAAATGCGAATAACTTTTTTATCAGTCCAATATAATACCATGTACAATAATTTAATAACATAAGAATATAAATGTTTAAGAATAATCAATGTTTCTTAAAATACCTATGTAATTTTTAAATATTATATACTTTGTATCCATTTTTCTATTCATAAATTAATCACAGTTAGTGTTTCATAATTTATAGAGGAAGTTAGATATAAAAACTCTACAAAATTAAGTTTTAACGTTTAAGTGTTGAAAACAAACTATAAAATAAAATCTTAAAGTTGAAACAACATAAATAAGATAAGTAATATCTAATAACAATTAGAAATTAGTTATTTGGGCCTTATTAATCAACCAATTGTATCAATTTGAATATAATAGCTATGCAAGCCCAAAGCCAGGTGTTAGGTGCTCTTAAATTAATAAAACAAATTTAAATCGCAGACGTTTCGGCACATTTATTGTGGCCATCCTCAGTGAAGACATACAAACGGCGAACAACGCCTTGACAACAGAATTAAAATTATACATAAATAAATATAAGCCGCAAGATTAAACGCAATTCATTTAAATCCACCTCGTTCCTTCTACTTGGGCGAGCGTTTTTCCATCATGTACTAATACAATCCTATCTAATTTTTTAACGAACAACAATATGGACGATAAAGGATTGCAAATACGTTTTGCACATCTTTTAATTATTTAATCTTTGCGAGCGGATCTTTATATTACTTATTTTGTACATTAAAGAAGGCCTGATGGCAGGTCGAAACGTTTGTAAACATTTTTAACGAATATATCATAACCATCGCACGGAGATCTAGCATTGTGGCTTTTTACGCTCCTTATTGATTTTATTCGTTTTATTAATTTAAGAGCACCTAACACCTAGCTTTGGGTTTGCATTGCTATCATATTCAAATTGATAATTGGTTAAGTAATATCTGTTTCGGGATTTGCAAAACATTTTATTCAAAAATAAAGAAATAGGAAATGTATAATATTGCTGCAATATTATTAAAATATTAAATAATGTACAGTTACTTTATGCTAAGTGTATGATTCAGATTATCATAGTAACAAATACATTATAGCGAGCACCGTGAAATATTCGGTAGGTGTCCTTTCGAAGCCTGATAGCATGGTATACCACAACGACGATATTCACAATTTATTAGTCACGTTACGCGTAAACAATGCGCAGGCTCTGTGTACAGGAAGGGGAATTCGGAATAAAAAGAGGATCGATCGCGATCCTCGATGCTGTTGTCTTTTGGCCGGCCACAGTAACAAACGTCTCTTCAACTCGTGATTTACTTAAGGCATGTAATTAGACGAAGAAATTTGGCGTATTGATCTTTATTCTTCTTAGGAAAAGACATCTCAACTTGGTAAATAACTTTCAATCAATTTTATTACAACAATATATTTACCTCTATTTTTTAATTACAGTGGAAATTATTTAAACAATTCTTGTTTTGCTATTTTTCCTATAACTTTCTTTGTTATATGCATTTTTGTGAAAAATAAAACAGATGATATCGAGAGAATTTAATTTAACATACGTTACATCTAGCAAGGTTGGATTTAATATAGGCAATAAATTTTGTTTTTGTATAAAGCAAATCTTATGCATTAACGATATCTTTCGTCAAAGTGCTATGTTTAATACTCATATACGCATCGTAACTATAACGCAAAAATTGTTTACTTTATGATTAGTTTATGTTTTAATCGTTCTGAGACCAAATAATGCGAAATGTGCGAATAAGACTAATAGACACAACCAATTTTGCGGCACCTTTTACATAATAAACGAAGAAATATCGAAGGAATTGTCGTTAATATTTTACAATGTTAGTCACATTTCCTCTGCAGAGTTACACTCTTTTTTTTTGCTATATGCATGCATTTAATAAATAATAAAAAAATCCTAATTTTATAATTAAAACATATTGTAAAGAATAGATAAATAATATTATTTATTAGAACAAATAATTTAAATTCGTGAACATAAATCAGATTAGATTTTATGATTTTATGATTTACTTGTTCGAACATTAATCTTTTTTTATACATAATGTTAGGAAATTAAATTTTTATAATTTTAGATCAGTACGTATAGTAATTATTTATAATAAAATTTGCAGAGAAGGAGATATTATCTTGATCATAACTGCTAAAAGTTCTATCAAAACGACACACGAGATGTGTTTCAAACTAAACTTGTTATTCATATTGGATGTCTTCAGTTTGTTTAGCATGTGGTACTTATATCCTTCAATAGCAGATTCGTCTCTTCATTTTCCTCAGGGGCTTAAAAGTAAGTGTTTTATTTCTTTTACATTGAACATTTACAGTAATCTTTTATTATATTTACTATTATAATACTTTTAATTTAATTTGGAGAACTCAAAAGTTATTAATAGTTACTTAATGCATATGTTTTATTATCTTAAGTTGCCATAAGTTGCAAAAATTTGAAGTTGTCAGTTTAATTTTACCGCAATGATAAATTGATAGAATAAATATTTTATTGTACGTAAATTAATATTTCTTCTTTTATAATTTACAGCATACGTTATGATTTAAGTTCTTACACAATGTAGGTATATCTTTTTTACAGATTGTGACCGTCTGTATGACCATGGTCCTTGCTTTTCGGAGGACATGAGAATCAATGGATCTTTTTATTGGAGATATTGGTTTGACGCGTATGAGACGTTGGATTGTAAGCGTTTTGAGTACGGGGGTTGCGGAGGAAATGGAAATAATTATGTAACTTCACAAGAATGCTATAATGAATGCTATAATAAATACTTTATACGTCGGCAACAACATTTCGATAGAGAAAGACAAAATTACAACATTCGAAGAGGAAATTACAACCGTCGAAGAAGAATTACGGATCTTTAAAACATAAAATTTTTGAGGATATCTCATATATTGATATATATTTGTAACAGTTTAATATTGAATTTCAATAGAAGTACTAAATGAAAGACTCTGTGAAGTCTTTATAAAATACTTGTAAAATTGTTTTATTTTTACAATAATTGACTGTAATAAAATGAAATGTACGGATATGTATATAAAATATGTAGGAATATATATGTAAATAAAGAAAAGTATTTCTTAATTTATTATTTTTGATTTTTTTCATTATATTGGGCATTTAATATTACGCATAATAATTTAATAATATTACATATAATAACATATAATAATTTTGCATAATAAACGGAGGAATATCGAAGGAATTGTCGTTAATATTTTACGACAAAATTTACCAATTTTGCATAACATATAATAATTTGAATAAAACATATTCAGTGTTTAATGAAATATTTCTTTTGTTTAAAAAATATCATCTTATATGGAATTACCGTAATTGTACTAGATTATTATCAAAATTATTCCACACTCGTAATAAAAGTTTTGTTTTTTTTTTATATTTATAGTTAACAAATGTATAAAGTTTTATGTGCTTTTTAAATATGTAAAGCAATTAGGAAACAATTTCAAGTAAGAAAAACTAAAATTTTAGAATTTTCAAACTTTATTTATAATTTATAAGTAGATAAATGTTATAATAACTTGATGTTAAATTATTACGTATATTACGTTTTTATGATGTAAAATGTTTAGTGTTACTATATCGATGAAATATATTTTGGTCAATCGTACATCAGTAATAAGGTGGCGTTCGGGATATATTGTATATGTATATGTATATATTGTATATATATATATGTACATTGTTTATTTTACCACATAAGGAATATACTATATTGTCATAATAAATTCAGAAATATTTTGAGAGAATTATTTTAGAAAAAGAAGAATAAAATGCATCTATCATTCTGAAAGCACGAAACCTGTACGCTGTAGAGCTTCATCATAAGTGGGTTGCCCTTTTGTACGATGTAAATTGCGAACTTTCGGGATCCGCGTGCAGGCACGCACGTGGGCACGTTTTATACGTTTATAGCGGCAAGTGCATTTCCTCGTCGCACGGCTGGTGCATAGAGTCCGAAAACAGTTAACTCTCATAAATTTAATTACGAGGCGCAACCGAAATAGGAGGTCGGCTTCTTTCAGCCTGGTAAAATCGTAACTTAGTCTTGCTACTGTGATTTTCTCGCGGGTTAACAATATTGTTTATTGGTGAATCCTACGAACTATAAATTATTAATACAACGTTATATTTAGACACACCTCTATTAGATATGCTCATAGATCAATAAACAACTGATTTCATGATATCATTTTAATATATCTATTTTCGTTGCATATATTTTAATATGCATATATTTAAACACTCCACTACTGTTTCTATCAGATTAAATTAAAAGTTATATATTAACATTAAATAAACTCTTATAAAATTAAAAAAACTTTCTAAAATTCTTGAGGCTGAGAATAAAATAAATAAATAATTTTTAATCCTGTGTTTTTACTGCTTAAAGTCAGTTATTTTAGCGTAATAATAACAATTAGGAAAATGTTGAGTATATTTTACTTCATTAATGTGGAAAAGCGAGTGAAATATGAGTAAAACATCTGATGGCGCGATATTTTGTTCCATTACAGATTAAACGGTCTGGGAGGTGAAAGACGTTACGCAGCAAATTCCTGTCGACCAACGGCGATGAAGTCGGAGATGAATTGTAATGCGCCATGCATTTCCGCCAACTAAGAGCGACAGCATAAAAGGGCGCTGAGATAGAGTGTCGCAAATCACCGTACGAAAGTGCTCCTCTACGAAAGTATAGAGACGAGCGTTGTGAAAACCAAACCAACCCTGACAGCATCCCGTTGACCCACCATCGTACAATTTTGTAAAAATTGCCATACGCTGACGGCTATCGGATTGCAACTCTCCTATACAATGCATCGTAGTATTTTTAAGCGTCTAGTTTAAATCAGTAGTAATAATACATTATTTGTTATCTCCACGTTAACTTTCAATTATAACAAAATTGAATTTTACTTTCAAGCTGATATTTCATGCAATATGCAAAAAAGCTTTAGAAAATTTTTCAAATTAATACTTTACGATAAAAGAACTTTATCTCTTGATAAGAGAATTATTATCTACTTTAATGCAGAGCCTAGAGAAAGGAAATATTAATTCTATTTATATCGCGATAGAGACGAATCGATCATGCTCGATAGCTTTATCATAAAGATCCCGTATGTTATCTCAGGAACGTAATGTACGTCGGGCATTTGGTCGAAAAATGGGATGCACTACTTTTGAACGGCCGTCCGATCGCCGATATGTTTTTCATGGCGCCGGATTATGACGGGCGATCTGTCACGGTCACCGTAACGGTAACTCTAAGGGGTTGGAAAGGGCTTAATGCCTCTCCTAGTGGGGAGGCGCAAGAAAGAGTGTGCGTGCGGAGGATGGGGAAGGAGTACGTTACACCATATCAAAATGGCCACAACTTAGGGGTCCTGTGCTATCCCGATATATCATCGTTAGAGAACTTTAGACGGCTTCCTGGTTCCAGCATTGATGGCTTCCTCCGATACGACATGATGTATCTGTTCCTCATTGCTGCAGTGTGGAAATGAGAATCGGATGCAATTTGAAAGTAAAAGTACCACCCAAAGCGATAACAAAGTGTTTCTCGATTATTTATCTATTCGTCTTCTGAGTCATATTTTGACAGAAATTATTTTTAAATTAAAAACGGGGTGGCTGCAACTAGATCTCTTTAAAAAGATTATTTTTAAGAATAATTTATATCGAAGATGTATGCTCTCAGCAATTTATAAATTCAATTAAATTGCAATTAGAAATTAATTTTGTAAATATATTTGATATAATATATAAAAAAATGTAGGACACTAGAACAACCTACATTAATTTTTAATATTGTATAAAAATTGAAAATAAAATTTCTAAGGGATTCTTATCATTTACTATGAAATTAAACAAATTTTAAAAAGAGATCAATTGTTATTAAAAGAAAGAATAAATCAAATGATCAACTCTTAGATTTACTATTAAGAATATAGTACACGGACAAACATAAAATTTGATTTAATCATATTTCTTCGGGAAAACTCAATTTAATCGAGTAAAAAGAGGATACAAAAAATAATAAGAAAGAAAAAATGTAAAACGAAAGCAATCCACTTCCTTCATTTTCCTGCCTCGTTCGATTCATGAAAGCTTTTTGTCGTCATTAACTATTTTTTTTTTCTTTTGAAGCAACGGTAACCAGCTAACGTCTGCAGATTATAAAACGAATGGAAACGGACAGAGGCTTTTTCAGAAATTTATATTAACTCTGAACAGACAGATAGAATGATTACCCGTGCATCGGCGCGCACACGTTTGTAGGTATTCATACGCTGGAAGAGAGACTATACTGAGGTAAATTAAGTTTTTCTCTACGAGTCTTTTATGCAATGTCACGCGGATAATCACAAACTCATTGAAAAACTACATTTCCTGCACGACGTTGACGGTAAAATAAAAAGATCCGGAAAAGGAAAATAAATCAATTACAGATAATAACTATAAAATATTTATAAAATCAAGTATCGGCGAGTATTTCCATATTACCTAACAGACTCTCCAAGTATAATCGGAACTACCGAATCTGCCAACTGGAAATAATAACGGTGCCGTCATACCGTCCATAATTGTCGTCGTACATTTCAGTCGCTTCCGGCGAGATATCAACTTTTCCTAAATACATTATCTAGATTTCGCATCGGCGTTAATCTGCCCAACAGTAAGTAATTAAATTTCCACGAATGCCATTCCGCGGGGAGTTTATCTAGAGCGGCTGTAAAAAATTCTGACTTTTAGTTGCTAGCTTTTATCGGGAGGAGCGACGACGCGAACGAGTCGGCAGATAAATCCACCCGAGCATTTTCCATCCGCGCGCGTCCTTTTCGCGGGTTAATGCGCTTTCCGCAGGACGCGCGCTGGACGTGCAACGAGGCTCGACGTGTGCGTGTGCCTTCAGAGGCCCACGTCGGTTTGTGCCGACGACAGGAACGGTTATCCGATATCAAATTACCGTATGTCGAGCCAAGTTCCTCCGCGACCCAGGATCCGGATCCGTACGCCAATAACTTCATTCCTGCACTGACACAACTTGTGATGTTATAATCTATCCTAGTCGCCACTGCAATCGGTCTCGCTGTTTCTGATTTTTGCAAATTGAAAAAAATCCTGCGAATTAATCGCTAAGATCAACGCACAACAACATGGCACATTTCGTTTTTATCAATAGATGACTTATTTTAAAGTAACGTTCACTAAAAATAATTTTGTATAAGATATTTGAAGATATTCGGCGGACAAATAAAAGTATATTTGTATTCATCTGCAATAATTTAAAATATCAAATTATATAAATTAATTATTTGTATGAATATAAGTACGTAAGCTAGAGATCTATCTTGGTGATTTCCGGTATAATAAGAACTGATTTTCGCGATAACACGACGTTCAAAAGATAAGTCAGCTGTACGCGGTACAGAAGTTGCATAATGTCATAATGATAAGAAACGTAAAAAAAAGTGAATCGAGTCATCACGGCGTTATCGGCTTTTCTTTTTATTACCGTATACTTGGCGCTCCTACCCCGTCTCTATCGTCATAAACCATCCGTAAATTCTCCGCATGACCGGCCAGCCGCCGCTCGGCCGCCTAGTGACAAATAGTTAGGCGTTACTCAAGCTGGTTACGGATCCTTCGGCAAACACAGGCGGACAAACGCTTCCTAATTGTACTGGGAATTGTTTACGCTACGTCGTAGTACCTTCTCACCTTCCTCTGCTCATGGCTATTCTGTGTTTGCCACCCCCCGTTTCTTGCACGTCTCTGCCATCTCTTCCGGAAGAATGGACGACGAAGATTTCGTCAGAGTATAGACGTTCGCATAGCGCTTAATTAAGTCGCCGAGGTGACGAGCTTTCATTAGGAGATCCGACTTTTTTTCGTAGATCTGAACTCATCCCTCAACGTTACACTCGTCATCGCGGGGATTACTTTCGTCAACACGGAAAACAATTAATCCGCGTAGCGCAATGAGTCATGTATATTTCGCGACATATCG